TCCCGTTACTTGTCCCAGCTTCTGCCAACCTAGCAGTTCAAAAGCAAGTAAAAATGCAAGTAGAAAAATAGGAAACACCTTTTGTGGGAAAGTAACAGCATTCCGTGCACCTTCCGCGTTTAATCATGTCAGGCACATGACCAGGGGGAAGTCTTCTGACAGTGCTGGCTTTGAAACGGAGATGAGCACCACTCCCTAGTCAGGAATGACTAGCACATATGTGTGAGGGGAACCTTTACCTTTTTACGGTGCTTATTCTATCACTTAAATTCCCCCATCCTCCCCAACTTTAAAACATGAAATTGTTCCAGGTACACTGGTTTCAGGTGGTCCATGCCCAACCTCAAAGCATGTATGTTTTGAACGTTTTGGTCTGTAGATAGAATGAAGTAGGGCTGCTCTGCTTTGGTACAGTAGAGGCAAACCTGATTTAGATTCAGTAGTAAGACAAGAGCAAAGCAAGGGAAATTGCTGCTGGCAGCTGAAGGAATACATTCCCATGTGCAGCTTTTTTTGTTTTGAATTAGAACATATTTGAAACATTTGTGGGATATGTGAGGGAATATGTGGAGCTAATGAAATTCTGGATTTAACTCTGCAGGCCTCGCAGGTTGGTACTTCATCAGTGATTCACGATATGGCATTGATTCTGGCACGTCTAGTTCTACTCACCCTTTGTGTATGGGTGCTCTGCTGGACTCTGGTCAACCTTTTCCGCAGCCATTCTGTCCTCAATCTCCTCTTTCTTGGCTACCCGTAAGTATCCTTACCTTTTGTCCTGAATGAACAATTCCAATTGTACTGGAGAGGATAACGAGAAACTCTTTTGACCAATAAAGTTTGGGTATAGAAGCTATTGTTCTCCTTGATAGAAAATTCTGACTGATATTCATAGATGGGATGTGTCATAGTTTATAATCTCACCCTGCCTTTTTTCCTTTTTCAGGTTTGGTGTCTATGTTCCATTGTGCTGCTTCCACCAAGATAGTAGAAACCAGCCTCTTTCAACAGACTGCAGCTATTTAGTGCAGGATCAACTAGTGGATGACAGTGCCTCAGGGGTTGGCAGTCTTGTGAAGCCCAAAGATTTATTTTCTCTCCTGAGAGAATCTGTCAAAGAACAGTTCAACCCCTCTGTGACCACTCCGACACACAGCTGTCCCTTGTCCCCAGATCTCATTCGCAATGAAGTGGAGGGCCTCAAAGCAGATTTTAACCGCCGAATCAAGGAAGTTCTATTCAATTCCCTCTTCAGTGCCTACTATGTGGCATTTTTGCCACTGTGCTTTGTGAAGGTAGCTGTTCTTGGATTACTTTACTATTATTAGTGCCACTCCACCTCCTGAATCTTGCCTGTGGATTGTTGGGGCAATGGACTTCTGGTTAATTCCCCTTTTCTCTGTCTCCCCTTTGGCAGCCTGGATGGCGGAGTGTAGCTGCATCTGGAGTGCCCTAGTATTGCTCCCCGTTGGAGGATAGGTATTGCCATACATGTAGTGCCCCTGTGGTTTTCCCAGTCCTTTTTCCATCCCATTTACTAACCCTGTCCTCTTTTTCAAGACAATTATAACATGATTCTATTTTGTGCCATAATATACACTTGGTACCAAATTGAGATCCTAATTCAACGATATCCAGATTATCAGCACTAAGACTTTAAATCAATCCAATTAGAATTGGGCAAACTAATGGGATCAATTCACAGATTTCAGAAACTATTCAGAATAATATAATTCTAAAAGCAGAATACAGGACTTACAGTTAACTTAGATCTCTGTTTTTGAATAACAATGTATGCTGAATCTATCATTTTACTATGAAATCCATAAGCACATATTTGTGTGACCATTTTTTAGAAAGCTTAGAGAATTACATGGGAGTTGTAGACAAGAAAGTGTGCAACCAATGTATATAATGCATTAAAATATGTCAAGGAAATGCCCAAGTTCCCCTAGCTTACTAGCCTTGCAGTTTATAAGGAATTGTAGAAATACCAGGGCCTGAAAAAGGAATTGAGTATGTGGAAAGGAAAGGCCAAATTGATCCCAGTGATTGAAGGTGAGAGCACTTGGATCTGTAAATCCTAAGCTGGGAGAATGGTTCCGACAGATCCCATGAACATCATCAGAGCTCTCTCCCCAGGAATGTAGTGCTAGGAAAACTTAAGATGTTGTGAAGAGCCCTCACCTTCCAAAATCTCTGGATGAGGACCCAAGATAAGGAAGATAAACACTCCCCCCATAGGAGAGAGAAGGGAATTTTTTTATGTGTGTGTCTATGATTGCAGAACACCATTGCTTCTGAGATAGTTGGGATGCTCATTAATTTATTCTCTGGTTTCTTACAGAGCACTCAGTATTACGATATGCGCTGGTCATGTGAGCACCTAATCATGGTTTGGATCAATGCTTTTGTCATGCTCACCACACAACTGCTTCCTCCCAAATATTGTGACTTGCTACACAGATCAGCTGCTCACTTGGGCAAGTGGCAGAAGCTCGAACATGGTTCATATAGTAATGCCCCTCAACACATGTGAGTTTGTAGTCAGAACACTTCTTTCTAGGGCTGTAGGAATTTCAGAAAGACTATCTTTGTAAGTTAATTGACATTTCCGAGGCTTATGTTTTCTTATTATAAGTGTTGCATTTTCATATATAAGATTGACTGTTAGCAGAATAGGGTTTTGATAGGTTTTGTGTCATAGTCTTCCCAAAGTTAGTTAGCTTACTAAAGTTCAAATGCAGAAACAGTGTAGTTTCTAGGTCTACATGCCAAACAAAAGCTGCTAAAGGCACTTCCCAGTAAGAACTTTAGAACCCCAGTGCCAATTTCAAGAATACTCCATGGCTCTTGTATTTTGATCATTCAGATCTAATTTCAACTTTACTTACCTTCAAACCTGGAGTGATCAGCAACTCTATCTTTGCAATAGCTATAAAAGTCTCCCAACATTCCATGCAACTGAATGGAATGTCTCAGTCATTTTCCTGACTGCAAACTGAAGGCAGGCAGGACATTTGCTCATGAAAGGACAGTGTCTTATAAATATTTAACAATTGTTGAAAAAGAAAAAAAATATTGTAAGTTAAAAGAAAAATTGGGGGGAAGCGGGAGGGACATACAAATTCAATGCAACCCTAAATGAAACTCTTCCAGTTTGAATGGATTCTTGGGATGGAAACCATAATTTGAGCATATACTAGAAACTTTAATAGAAAGCAGTTGGATTTGCTGATCATCTGTCGTTTAAAATATTTGAAAAGCAAATGCAAAATAAATAGTATCATTATAAAACGTTAATAGGTTACCAAGAATTTTTACATAGTGCAACTGATAATATAGAATTTTTATCAAATTTGAATGAGAGAAATAAATTTGAACTCAAAAGAAGGAACATTCAGTGATTTCTTAACAGTGAACAGGCAGGAGAGGTTACTTTTAGTTTAGTTTAATTTGAGTTAAAATGCTAGATGTCATTTATCTACTGACCTACCTAATTTAGAATTTCCATTTCTACTGAAATCTGTTATGTTTCTTGAACAAAGATAAAAGTTCTAAAACTAGAGAAGTTTAATTATAAGGCGTATACAAAGGCATCCACATTCATTTAATGAAATTATTCACCTGGTTAAGAATAATGAAATATTTTTCTTTGTCCATAGCTGGTCTGAGAGCACAATATGGCCACAAGGCGTGCTGGTACGGCATAGTCGATGCTTATATAAAGCAGTAGGACCTTATAACGTAGCTGTGCCTTCAGATGTCTCTCATGCTCGCTTTTATGTAAGTATATAGTGGATTATGGAGGGTCTGGGAATAAAATACTTCCTACCATGAGATAAAAATATTTCTGTTCTTTTACAACAATAAATCATTAAAAACAAGATTAGGTTGGAGGAACTTAATGTCTTGTAAATAAAATGTGGTTCTTCCTTGCTATTCAGAGATAATGCTACTAATAAGTTCTATAAACACACACTTTGTTTCCTTTTCTAGTTCCTCTTCCACCATCCCTTACGGCTTCTCAATCTGCTGATTCTCATAGAAGGCAGTGTGGTCTGTTATCAACTCTACTCCCTGCTTCGTTCAGAGAAGTGGAACCACACACTCTCCATGGCCCTGATACTCTTCTGTAACTACTATGTCTTATTTAAACTCCTGAGAGACCGAATAGTATTGGGCAAGGCCTATTCTTATCCACTCAACAGCTATGGGTTAAAAGCCCATTAGTCATCTGAGGAAGGGAAGGATATTTTCATACAGTTATATTTTTTTCCTTGCAACTGTTTATAAATATTTAAAAAATATTTTATATTTTGTATACTACTGTTTTTTGTGGGGTAGGGAAGGGCCAAGTGGCAGTTAAATGTCACCTTATAAACAAGGTTATTTTATATAAAGACATCATTGTGTATATACTGTATATCAACATATATCTATGTGAAGCAAGAACATTGTTGTGTGGTCCCTTTATCTACTGTGCATGCAGGTTAGCCATCATCAGTTTTATATATAGGACTTACCTATTTGCTATACATCCAGCCAAAGGTGGCCATTACTTACAGTTGTGGACAAAACATGGGCAACTTCCTGGATCCCTTTTTATAATCAGTTTGTTTTTTTTAAAGATCATGCCATCATAAAAAAACCTTGCCAAAATTTTTATGTTTAAAGCATTGAAATGGTAGTGGTGTGCTTCAATTTGTTTTAAATTTCTTTACATGACAAAGCTCCATCCCCCTCATATTTAAAGAATAATTTTAATAACACCATCAAGCACATAGAGCAATAAAATAAAATATTATTCATCACATGGTGGAATAGCCAAAATCATGTTTTGCACATTATTCAGCTATACAGGTAAACCTCAAGTTAGGAATGTAATGGAGCCTGTCAATTACATTTGTAACTCAAGGATTCGTAGGAGTGAATCACATAACCTGAACATGATCATTCCCTGCTTTTGCCCACGCGTTCACTAATTGAATATGTGGATTATTAAGTGCACAAAGTATCTCAGGGTAGGGAAGGCCATGAGGAGGCTTCCCCTGTCCCATCCTGCCATACCCGACTTACATATCTTGCAAAGCTCTGTCTCCTCTCTGCTGCATTTTCTTTGCCTTTGAGGGAGAGGAGAGCAGGATGATTTACGTCCCAACATCTGGTCAGCTTGCAAATGTTTTTTGCGGTGAGAGTGAAATGTTCGGGGATGGGGGTGATCGCATGCAACTTCAGGCACACGCAATCAAACTCCCCCAGAGCATTCACTCCCAGCGTGAAAAGCACTTGCAAGATACCAGATACTGAAAGCAACACAATTTATCTCCCAGCATCCGATCACCTTGCTTTTCTTACGGAGAGTGAAATGTTCTGGGGGCTGTGATCTCACATGACTTCAGGCACCCATTCTCTGCAAAAATGGATGAGTGCCTGAAGTTGCATGAGATTATGACCCCCAGAACATTCAACTCTCAGCACGAAAAGTATTTGCAAGCCAATTGGACACTGAGAACAAAATAGTCTTGCTCACCTATCTTTTAAAGATAAAGAAACCACAGCAGAGAGGAGACAGATCTTTGCAAGGTCTGGCAAGAGGGGGAGGGGTGATTAGGATGAAAGTTGCAGTGTCTGCGGTCATCTCCATGGTGCTGCAACATTCATAATTTCGGGAGTTTCTTGTAAACACTTGGGGTTTTTATGGTGTAACTTCAAATGGTCACTAAGTGAACTGTAGTAACTTGAGGATTACCTGTATTCTCAACTAGCATGTGATGTCCAGCTTGCATATGATTCCTTAGTAGTCAAGGAAGGAAGATAAAGTAATTTAGCACACCTTTTATATTGGTATTTAACAGAATAACAAAGTTGGAAAGGATTTTGGAGGTCTTCTACTCCAATCCCTGTTCAAGCAGGGGACGCTATACCATTTCAGGTAAATGATTATCCAGTCTCTTAAATCCTCCAATGTTGCAGTACCCAGAATTTCAATGTTGTACTGCATCCTTAAAGGCTTTTTGCATTTTATATAGAATTGGAATCTTAAAACACTGGTCTTTTCTTTTTTTTATTGTAATCACAGATAAACACAAGTTTTTAATACTTTGTTCTGCAACAAAGTAATCCAAGTGGGGCCCATGGTCATCATCTTTGGTAGTATTTTTAATTAAAAAGAATAAAATGAGACGACTCTGCAAACTACTAGCTTTGAGTAACTTCTAAGAAAGTTCAGCACTCTTAAGCCATCTTAGAAAGAAAGCTTAGTCCCTCTTTTGGAAGGTATATCCACAGGCCCAGAAATAGGGATAAAAGCAAGTACTCGTTCTATGATCTGAATGTTTTGTGACTGACCATAACAGCTTTTTTGTGAAAACATTCAGTCAGTTCTGTGAATTAAGAATTACCAAATGTGAACAGTGAACATGTAGATGGCAACACAAAATTGGGTTGCGCTCTTACCTCGGTCTTTCAGATTTTACAGCCAAGATCAGTTAACCAGTCTTGGAATGCCAGCTAAACTTTCTGCCACATAATAGTCGCCTCTCTCTTGCTTTAATGAATTTTTTACATGTCTCTGGTCAAGATGCTATACAAAGTGATTAGACTTTGGATAGATGGCACAGTGCACAGCAGCACACATGAGCCCTATAGAATTGCAGAGGAACATGAGAACTAAACTACAGCATTTTCTTCTGTTAAGCACCTTTATCAATTTTTCCAAAGTGCAAAAAATCTAGACAAATTGGGAATGAGGATTAAGTCCTCCTCTGTAGTATTTCAACTATCAAAATCTTCATCTTATTTATTTTCTTTAATGGAATAACAAGTGTGACAATAACAATCACAAAGCATAATCGCTTTTACTTCCTATTTATAGATGCTCTGTTGCTTGTTTTTCTGGGGTATATTCTTGGCCATACTACATTGTGGCAAAATGTTTAGAACAAAATAAAATCCACGCAGAGAAACAAAAAAAATCCTACTGAAATACATTAAAGAGCAGGAAAAACGAATGAGATTCCTTTTTGGATGCCTCTACCTCCGTACTTTTACAAAATTTGACAATAATAAAAAACTCTCTAAGTTTTCTAACACAGTAGTGCTCGACTTATAACCACAATTGAGCCCAAAAAATTTGTTGCAACATTTGTTAAGTGAATTTTGCCTCATTTTATGACTTTTCTTGTCACAGTTGTTAAGTGACTCTGCAGTTGTTAAGTTAGTAACATGGTTGTTAAGTGAATCTGACTTCTCCATTGACTTTGCTTGTAAGATCACAAAAGGTGATCACGTGATCCTGGGACACTGCAACAGTCATTAATATGAGTCAGTTGCCAAGCATCCAAATTTTGATCATGTGACTATTGGGGTAATGCAACAGTCATAAGAGTGAAAAATGGTCATAAATCACTTTTCTCATGCCATTATAACTTTGAACTGTTAGTAAATGAACTGTTGTAAGTCGAGGGCTACCTGTATATTAAGGGCTTTATATTTACCTTATACCAGGATACTTTAGTTAGGTTGAAGAACAGAAAGACTTTTCTAGGAAACGAGTCTTACTCTTATCATTTTAACAATATACCATTATCAAGGAGGATAGAATTGTAACTTTCAATCGGATAGTCACAAATTTTGTGAATATTTACAAAGGAATTGATAAAGGAGAATAGTTACTTGCTTTTACAGAGGTTTATTCCCTCATATTGTTCAATTTAACATCACTTTGAGACCACCACTTCTAAACTCAAGAAAACCTGCACAATCTGTGTACTCCCTTCACCCGTTCATTGAATACAGCCTGTTGTGTAAGATAAGGCTGGAAAAAAAACTACTTTCTATTATTTTTATTATTCAGTGAAATGTCTACTGAGAATGTGGTTCCACATCCAAATCCAGGGTTCAAAACCAAAAGTCAGTCTAATCTGGTGATTATTATGACAATGCTTGTAACTATCCTAAGATTATTTCTGAAAAATTTCTCATGTTTTCAGTATTGTTTGCCCTAAGGCTAGCTAGGTTCAGAAGGATAATGTGTATATTATAGCAATAGCAGTTAGACTTATATACCGCTTCATAGGGCTTTCAGCCCCCTCTAAGCGGTTTACAGAGTCAGCATATCGCCCCCACAGTCTGGGTCCTCATTTCACCCACCTCGGAAGGATGGAAGGCTGAGTCAACCTTGAGCCGGTGAGATTAGAACCGCTGAACTGCAGATAACAGTCAGCTGAAGTGACCTGCAGTACTGCACCCTAGCCACTGCGCCACCTCGGCTCTCCATGGATTTCCATGGCTTCTTAAATACTATTTTGAGGTATGCCCAAATTTCAAGTTTAGAATATTAATCTTTGGAAAACTGCCATACCAATCCTGAGAATGGCCACATTCACATGATCAGGAAAAGAAATTGCATTTTCCAGAGTTTTCTGAATAATGTATTAATTTTATCTCAGACTCGGATAAGTGAACAAATCCATTGCATTAAATATTGTATTAATGATGTCGATGCCAATTAAGAGACATCTCTATTTTCCATCATATTTTCTGAATCAATTGATTTCTATCACTTTGAAAAGGAGCATGGATGCACCAGCCTGTAGTAAAATAATTTGCTTTCATTTTGACACAAGAAATTAACGTTCTGCTGAACTATAAAGAAATACAATTGTACAATATCACTAGAGGGTATATATTGTTAGTTTTTTGTCAGAATTGGGTTTTTTTTTTTAAATCTATAAATACCCATCACCCTTTCTAAGAAAGTATTTTCCATGTCAGAAACATATCAATATTCTGTGCCATTATATATACAAGCTGAATGCAAATGTCACATACAGTATTTAAAATGCATTCAAACAAATTGTATCTGAAGAGAATTTGTTCAATCGCAAAAATCTGCAGCATCTGGATGTTTATAAACAGTTGGTGTGGGTATAAACTGTAAGCACTGCAGACATACAGCATTGTACATCCTTTAGTAAGTTACCGTTTCATTCCAATTTAATTTTCTCTGCATTTTTTAATGGGAGCTGGTGAACCTGTCCTGACTAACTCTCTTCCCTTAAGGCATACATACTTTAAACAGACAACTGTATTGGAACTGGAAGTGTTAAGGAAATTTGAAGCTAGCCATATTATCTCAGAATATCATAGTAAATTATTGGTTTTGCTGGTGTACCACGAAATTGCTCCAGTTTCAGGCCTATTTGGAACAGCAACGCTTCATTCCACCACTTTGTCATCATCTGTGAAAGAAGCAACAAGATATCTATGAAAAACTGCTAAGATACTGTACCTTCTCAGAATATACTTTGGAAGGGGCAGAGATAGTTGCTATAAGCTCATTTGATCTCTGGCTGTAAAAAGAGCTTTGAGATATCGGGAGTAAAACAAGTAGGACCAAAGAGAACTAACAACCTTGAAAATCATTATTACAATTGTTCATTGAAACAATTACAAAAGTGTTTTCTCCAAGTACAGGAAATCCTTGACTAACAACAATTTGCTTAGTGGCCGTTCAAAGTTACAAAGGCTCTTTTCACATTTATGACCTTTGCAGCATCCCCATAGTCACTTGATTTACATTTGGATGTTTGACGACTCTCATTTATGGTGGATGCAGTGCCTGGGGTCATGTGATCCCCATTTGCAACCTTCTGACAAGCAAAGTCAATGGGGAAACCAGATTCACTTAATGACCATGTTACTAATTTAATAACTGCAGTGATACATTTAACAAAGGTGACAAGAAAAGTCATAAAATGGGGCAAAACTCAATAAATTTCTCACTTAGCAACATAAATTTTGGGCTCAATTGTGGTCATACGTTGAGGACTACCCGTATTGTATATTTTAACCAATAGCAAAAGCACACAATTTAAAATTCACAGGATATAGAGTATATTAATTACATCAGCATGTACAGGGATAAGTTTCTCAGTGGAAACCTTTTTTTTTTTCAAAAATGGATATGCAAAAATAACTGGAAAATAGGTCTTCTGTTGAAATAAGAGACTCATGCAAGCTATCCCATTAATAAGCAGAATGCTGGAGGTAGGGATAGGGATCCTTTTTTTTTAAGTCATCTTCAGGCTCCAGAATATGGCATTAGAAGAAATGTTTTGTGGGTAAAGGAAAATGATGCTTTGCATTAGGAACTGGTGGCTCAGGTTTTCCAAAAGTGTATAGATTAACATCAACATTTTTCACTGGGTTCAAACTAAACCAAGTCACCAAAATATAATCAGAATATCTTATTTCAATTAGAATTGCCACAGCTATATTTTGGAAAACTAACTTTTGGGTCTTCTTTAAAGGCATTATAATAATCAAGTACAGAATACCTTTCCTTACATAATAGAGGCAAAGTGATTTCCATGTCAGGATCAATCTTGTAAAACTCCACACTCAGGAAGGTCAATTATATGTTAATTTGTTTAGTCCAGCTGGTATGTATCATGCTCTCTGAACAGAGATTTATTTTGAGAGAAAAGCATAAAGCATCTTATAAAATGGGACTACTCTAGGTGCTCTATGTAGCCTGTTTGTTTTCTTTTTAAAAAATTCTTACTTCCCAAACAGTAAACCAGGGATTTAAAAAAAAAAGAAAAGGAAAAGGATGTCTAAGCCTCCCATCCCCTTCCAATCTGATAGCTCTAACCTGATCAATTCACACACTTAAAAAATAAAGAGATGATAACTAGCTACCTACTGCAAAGATGGTTGGAATGCTATCAAAAGATGGCAGCCCTGATATAATTTTCATTTTATTTATATCCCATCTTTAGTATTTTTACAAATAACTCAAGGCGCTGGACATAGCCAATACACCTTGCTCCTCCTACTTTCCCAACAAACCTGTGAGGTGAGTAGATGTGAGAGAGACTGTCTGGCCCAAGATCACCCATTTGGCTTTCATGGCTAAGATAAGACTAGAACTCTGACCTCCCACTTTTTAGCCTGACACCTTAACCACTAGACCAGGGGTATCAAACTCGCGGCCCATGGGCCAGATGCATCACACGCTGGCCACCCCACCCCCGTTTTATCAAAGGGGGGGAAAGTCACGATACATCATGTGACGACAACATGACACCACGAGTTTGATATTCCTGCACTAGACCAAACTGACTCTCATTACAATGCAAAGCCATCAGATCCTAGATTATTGGATACTGGAAATTACCAATAGCTCAGGCCAAGACGAGGGTTTGTTACACATGATGTATGTAATGACTAAAGAATTATGGTCGTAAGTCATGCTAGTAATTAAGTGGGTTGCAACATGACCAATTTTACAATGTTTTCACAGTGGTTATTGAGTGAATTACATAATCATTAAGTGAATCCTTTGTCTACAATGGATGTTTTTTGCTGTAACTGGAAATATCAGTTTCTGGCAAAAAATATAAACCACAGTCACAGACTGCAGCAAATAATTGTAAATGTGGGCCAGTTGCCAAATATCCAATGTGCAATTACTTGACTGTAGGGAGTGATGCACAGCTAACTCTCAGAATTTTGAATCCAAATAGTCTTGGATAGATAGCCTTGGGGAAATCAGTTGTAACTTCGAATTAATGCTAAGCGACCGGCTATAAAGAGTACTTATAAACTTGTGTTAGTATATATTTGAAACAAACTAATCATAGCTTATTCACAAGTATTTGGGTACTTTTGTCAACACAATAGGAATGCTGTGGTATGTTAACTCCCTTTCTAGATAACGGACAACTTCCCAATTTCCCTTTTTGAAAACCCATACTGTATTAAAAAGATTTCTTATTACACAATAGGATACACTTAGAGCAACCTGCCACGTTAAGACACAAAATACCTCAATATCGTTTCTGTAAGCTTCTGTAAAAGAAAGCAGATACCTTTCTATTTTTGAAAAGTTGCTAAGCAAACAAATAGAATAGTTGAGTCTCATTCTAAATAAAAGGCATCAGTATTTAATATTTGACTAAATAATGCATTTTTATTTGCTCCCCTGAATTTGCAAACGATGGAAGATCTATGTGAATTTCAGCAGAATTCTATGATTATTGGCCTAATGGGCCGGGAAGGAATATGGCCCCGTCTGAGGAAGATTCAGAAATTGAAAAAAATAATAAACTGGATGAATGTAGGTGGAAGAATTAATCAGAAAGAAAATTATTCTTAATTGAGTTCACTGAACTCAACTACAGAAGGTAATAACTTACTTGAAGGCTGATGGGAAGCCCTGAAATTGTATATCCAACTGGTACCACAAGGGCTGGAATGCCTGTCAAGTTGGCCAACTGCATGTATCTGGAAAGATCAATAGAAACAGTATTAAAAATGGGAAAAATTCTGGAAAAGAAGTACCATTCTCTCTACAGATTTTAAATCCAAGCCTCTTTGAATGTATTTGCCAAGGCACAAAGAACATTTTTCTTCTTACAATTCTAACCAAGAGAGATGGTTTTAATAGCTGATGTACAGCCAAGCAGTATCAATCCAAGAGTTAAGCAGCCAACAAATACATTTAAATGGAAAGAATGTTAAAGGATAAACAGGTCAAAATTATGTCATACTTTCTATACATCCACCAGAGGATATAACTATGGCTGTGTCATTCTTTTTTCCTTTTCCATGAACCCATATGCATTTTAGGAGAACTTCATCCTTGTTTTTATGCATTTCTGTAGAGATGTAGTGATCTCGTACATATAATGCAACTCCGCCTCCTCTTTTGTTATGTCTCTTTCTTTTGAATACTTTATATTCTTCCATCATTACATTCCAATCATTTCATCACACCAAATTTCAGTAATGCTATCATGTACTAGTACTCCCTTTCCTTCTTTACATACCTTGCCTGCCCTTTCTTTTTCCTTCCTTCCCTTCCTTCTTTTGCATTTGTTATTCTTTCTATTCTTTTAGTTTTTATTGTTGCAATTATAATCTAATAAAATTATTTTTTTTAAATCAAACTGAAGTGTTAATGATTTCATGTCTCTTTGAAGATATGGAATCTGGCTTTGGAGGTATCATCCACATCTTATTCTTGATTGGGTAAAACACCCAAAAGATGGCCTAGAACTCGGGTGTCAAACTTGCTGCATCATGTTGCATCACGTGACATTTTGCAACTTTTTTCCCATTCACAGAGCTAGGGTGGGCGTGGCCTGCACGTGACGCATCTGGCCCACCTGCCGCCAGTTTAACACCCCTGGCCTAGAAACTTGATTTCATTCCCCTCTTGTTTATTATTTTGATTTTTTATTGCACACGATCTTGTTCTCACCTCATAGTCCGTAGAGTTGTCTGAATATCACTACATCCAGTCAGGAGGTCTGATTCATGGATCGCTGGGGCACAACATGCAGTACCTTACACAAAACAAAAATTACAAAGTTATAGCCTTTGTTTCTACAGCTGTTATGTTTCATCAAATACAGAACTTTTCAATTAAGAATGAAAAATCATACTAATCTTTTGAAATAGTTCTTTAACAAAAACATTTTGACTGTTGCTTTGGAAACATATTACATCCATTAGCCATTGTATTCCATTCAAGGGATTCATCCCAAGTTTCTCTATATAAGTTTATCTCATTTGTTGTCCTCCTTGACAGCAAAATCCCCTCTATATTATTTTTCTTAATTTGAGCATTAATATATACATAATGATGGACATTAACTTCATAAACCAATTTTCCTTGTTTTTCATTGAGTCATTTAGTAAGACCGATTATGGAACTCTCTTCTTTCTACAACATAGAAGTCCTTATCTGAGAACCATACTTTCATTGCAAACTCTCTACAAGCGTCACTCTAAACAATTGCTAAGCAAACTCACCATGCTTCAATCACAAAGCTTCAGCTTTTAGGAATTTTTCAGTACAGGTAGTCTTTAACTTAACAACTGGTTGCTTAGTGACAGTTCAAACCTATGACAGACCCTAAACTACTTATCACCTGGTTATAGTTCAAGGTTATAGCTACTGCAGTGTCCCTGTGGTCACTCATCTTTACAATCAATTGCAGGGATACTGACTGCAGGGATGCTGCAGCAGTTCTCCAGCCTATATTTCTCCCATCCTACCCTGCTAGGTCCCCACACACCTTATGCCTACTTCCCCTCATGATGGGTCCCCACAGGCTTTCAACCTATTTCTCACCCTGCTGGATCCCATCTCCTCCCCCCCCCCCCCATCACCCATCACAAACTTACCTCTGGAAGGGCTCTGTTGGGAAAAGGGCAGGCCATTCCACTTCTCCGCATCCCTAGGCTGTATAGCTCTGTCCTGGAAGCAGGCCCCATTTTTGGAGCAGCTGTAATGAATTGTGGCCATTGTGAAAATGACACCTGTTTCTGGGACAAAACCACACAACCTAGGGACATAAGTGCTCCGGTCGACATGCAGCAATGCCAAGGAGTGGAGCAGCATGTCCTCATTATTATATGACACAAACACAAATGTAATGGATTTCTAATATTTGTCTTAATGAGATCTTCCAAGTATCAAAAAAATGGGAGTTATATCAATTCCATTGCCATATTTACTCCCAGTAAATTCTTTGAAGAAAGTCATCTGAAGATGGAACCACAGACTGATCTCACCTCTGCTGGCTAGAAGGCAGGGCTTATACTTTTGCCATTTGGTTAAGAATAGCTTCCCCTTCAGTGTCCCTTCCCTGCTGCAGCAGAGGAAGGTATTCAACCTAGCTCCATCTTTGTCTTCTGGGTGTTTATAAGCGGGTGTCAGCTAGCTTGCTGCTTACTACTACGGAAAGAGGGGAGGTGCTCAGTGGGGATTTTTTCTTTGCTGCTTCGTAACTACAAGTCTGGTTTTGCTTATCTCTCCAAGGTCATTTCTTCTAGCTTTGGTATGTAACAGCCAGAAACAATGCATTTGAATCAAAGACTTTCTCAAAACATTTCCTGGCAGGTACTTGCCCTTCGATTGTGTAGCTACAAAGAGGTTGAACTCTAAGGTTTGCTTCAATTTGACTTAAGTTGCATTCAGTTCTTTCCTAGTAAAAGTACTTTTTTTCTCTAAATCTATGAAGCCAAAGGTTTTTATTTCCTAGGAATTGGAGGGAAGTCGCCCTGACAGTGGGAGAAAGGAAGGTAGAAGTAGATGAGACAGGCTAGCACAAATTCTGCTGTATAATGCAGAGGACGTGTAAAGACCTCCAGAATCTTATTTTCAGCAAACAACCATGTGGAGCCCCAGTTCAGTCAGAGAACTATCGGCCTTCCCTTCCTCCTCTTCAGAAGAAAATAATGGCAAACAGTGAGCACAAAAGCCCTTTTCTTTTTTTCTTGTTCATTTCTTAACTAGGTTTACGGAGCGGGGGGGGAATTATAGAAGTACAAAATACACAAAAACAAAAAAATAACAAAAACAATTTTAATGACTCTCCTATCGAATTGCACTGATTACTGATCAGCATTTGTAACAAGTCAATAGATTCAATAATTTAATTACTAATATATATATATATATTTTAAGTAAATCTTGCTTCCCCATTGACTTTGCTTATCAGAAAGTCACAAAACGTGTGTGACCCCAGGACACTGCAACTGTCACAAAGATGAGTTCAGTTGCCAAGTATCTGAATTTTGATCACATGACTATGGGGAGACTGCAAAAGTGGTAAATGTGAAAAATGGTCATACGTCACTTTTTTCAGTGTGTTGTAACTTTGAACGGTCACTTGATGAACTATAGTTAAATTGAGCACTACCTGTACTTTAAATTCTTTCTAGTTTACAATATTGACTCCAATTTTGTTCGCTACGAAAGAACTTTTCAATTATTTTCAATTCTTGGTTGTGTATTGCAAGGCTCTATATGGTGAACCAAAGGGAAAACCTGTTGTTACCTTTTCCCCTCATAATCTCCCTCTTTTCTCTTAAAAGAAAGAATACACTGACAAACCAGCACAAAGGTCCTTCAATAAAAACTCATTTTCCCTCAAAGCAGCATATTGTTGGCAATAAAACTTCCAAATATCTACCGAGTGACTCTGGTCTTTACATATGTAAAACAGTTTTGAATAATCTCTTATCTCCCAAACAACCAGGTTTCTGCAGCCTGACAAAGGATGTACCTGAGCATGCATGGAAGGGAGGGGAAATCCTTTGGCAGAAGGCAACAGCTTGCGATTCTTTCCTGCCAGCTTTTCCACTGATTTTCTGGGGAAGCTAGCAGAGTACATAGCAAATAGCCATGGTGTGCTTTGTACCAGTTTTAAGTTTAAACAGATTGGCAAGCTGTCAAGGCTGCCTCTGTTCAATTCCTAGGCAAGAAAAATCCTTGGCTCCATAGATTTAGATAAAAGCTCTGAGGCAGAGCGTGGGATCAGCACAGATACAGATATACAGCCCAGCCCCAGAGCCAAGGTGGCGCAGTGGTTAAATGCAGCACTGCAGGCTACTGCTAGATCAGCAGTTCAACAGTTCAAATCTCAC